CCAATCACCAGTGTTGATCCAGTGGTGGCTGCCCAAAAGGCCATTTACTGAGCAGTTACTAAGTACCAGGCCCTGGGCTAAGCACTGTATCCCCCTTGGGGAGAGGTACTACTGAACCCCAAGTTACAGACAATGAAAAACTCCAAAAGCCCCAAAGGCTAAACAACATGGCTTCGGTCCCACAGTGGGGCAAGAAGCCACGATGTGCACTCAGGAGGTCTGTTCTGAGTCAACTAGGCCAAACTTAATGTCTCTCTACATTTGCAGGACATTGCCCTGCACTGGGTATCCAGGAAAAACCACCATCTGCCCTCAAAGCACTCACACATCTACCTGCGTAGCTGAAGCACAAAAGACACTTCTGGGGGTTAATGCTATAGTGCTCCTGATTGGGGCACACTCAGAGCCTGCTGAAATAGCAACAAAGGAAAAAAGAAAAGAAAATAATCCACCTGGAAGTCATTCAAGTTTGCGTTTTGTGGTTGCCGAGTCTAGCTGCATACTTAAAGGTTGTTTCCTAATCAAAGAACCCCAAAGCTCAAAAACCATCCTGGGCTGGCCTTACACTGCCTCCCACCCTCAGATGGGGGTCATCTGTGCAGGAAAGGAAGCTGGCGGAGGTGGCAGGAGTATGGCACCTGGAGACAGGAAAAGAATTCTTGGGCAGCAACACCTTTGCAAGGTGAGAGGGTTTGCTCCCAGCTGCAGCCCCCCAGTTGAGGTGCCCCCTCCCTAAGCCAGCTCCAAGTCGCTAGGGAAGCACCTAGGGTGGCAACTTAGAAGTTGTCAGTCAGGTGTGTGTTTCAGGGAGGGATTGGGGGTCTCTGAAGTGGGAAGATGAAGAAGTGGGGGGGGGAGGAAGTAGAAGGAACAGAAGCAAATGGGGTTTCCCACCTCTGTCCCACCCGACCTCCTGCAGCTCCAAAGGTGGCAGGGCAGGGTCCTCCTTCCCCTGGGGGGACCAGGCTGTGGGGCCATAAACAGCAAGTGCTGCAGGGAGAAGGCCGAAGGTTCGGGGAAGGCGGAGAGGGAGGGTGTGAAGGTGCACAGAACGGCACAGGCAGCTTTTTGAGTATCATTTGGATACAGAGTGAGGGACAAACTGGATTGGATTTGTCCCCAAACCATCCAGATGCCAAGACCTTGAATAAAAATCACCTCCCATTCTGCTTTTTCTTCTCCACCTATTGACCTGCATTTTCCCACTTTATCCATTTGTTTGTTGAATGAGTATGGGCCAAAATACCTATTGTATGTCCAGCACTGCATTAAGCCCCTAAAGGTGTTTTAATTTGCCTTTGAGTAATTCTTTTTCAAAGTGGGAGTAAGGAAGATACTAATTAAATAGAAGGCACAGCCTAGTTGGAAAACTATCACAATTTCACTCAGAAAACTGGGAGCCACTCAAATCATAGACAAATGCTGCGGGAAGGTGGAATAAAACACGATTTCTAAAATTTTCAACAAATGAGCTTCATAAACCGATGTTAAAGGCGCCGAAGAAAATTTCAGCCTAAACAAAGGGCACCACAATCCTATTACGTCTGCAGGCTGGCACTGACCTCAAAGGGCATGTGGGCCAAAGAGCATGTTCAATAAAGGGGGCCCTTTTCCGAAAGGATAAATCTGACCCTTCCTCAAGGAAACGGATTCTGTGTTTTCTGCTTGCAATTTGTGGGACTAATCCATTTCTTTTGTTCCTCTCAGGGGATTGGTGCCTGATACTAGAAGCCACTTGAAAGCCACGCCCTTCCATGATGGGCATATGCAGACCAGGTTAGGGACTCACAGTTATAGACTGTCACTCATGCAAAAACAACAGCAGCATCAAAGCCAACAACCCCCTCCCCAAATTGTCCAAAGGCTAACCCCAAAGGTCAGGCCAGGTTACTGCAGTAAACCTGTTACAGAAGCAAAGGCCGGTCAAGGAACTGATTAGCTTCAAGAGTCACTCGGACTGGGCGCTGGGGGTGGAGGGGTGTGTGTGGTTAATTTATTTATTCATTCAGAAGAAGGGTTTGGAGATGGGGAATGGATAAAGGTAAGCAGCATCATAAAAAATAAAAGAATACCCTGGGGAGGGGGGTGGGTACAGAGTAGAAGGGGTCAATGGGGGAAAAAAGGGGGTCATTTGTAATACTTTCAACAATAAAGATTTTACAAGTAGAAGAATACCTTAATTAATGATGGGAGGAAAGGCATTTCTTGTTCTGTTGTAGGATGAGCTATTTGGAGAGACTGGGATCAAATAAAACTCAAAGCTGTCCTGCTGAGCCTAAGCTCAAGGTGGCTGTAAGGGCAGGTCTGGCCGTCGCTGTCCCAGGTGCCAACATCCCTCCCAGCCCGGACCAACCACCCGGGCGTGGAGTTACAGGTTCCTGAGCGCCAGAGGCCAGGTGGGGTCTTCAGAGACGTAAAATAGCCTCTCCTGGTGGGGACGCAGGGCTGGCTGAGCGCGGGCGCAGACGCTACCTCCCTCCAGATCCTCCGGCGCAGAACCATGGATGGCCCGACCCCCGCCTCCGGGATTCCTCTCTTAACAGCCCCCAGGCTCCGTGAACCCGAGCTCCCCATCAAACCGGCAACAGATTCCAAAATCGACTAAATCTCGGACTCGTGGACTGTGCTTTGTTCCCGACATGGGGCTAAACACTCTCCGGTACCGACAGGAAGGGACCTCTGCCTGCGGTCTGCCCCGAGAACCGCTGACTGTCTGTCTGTCTGTCTGGTCCCGGAATCTCACGCCCCGCTCGGGGCGGGGTGGGATGCGGGAGAAGGGAGAGATGCTCGATCCATCCTTGAGTCTCTACCACTCTTAGACCCCGACGCGAGCCATTGGCCGGATACTCGGTTCCATCTGCGCGGCAAGCTTGGATGATCTGGCCCCTAAAATGTTCTCCTTCGCAGAACTGAGCCCCCCCACCCCCCCGTTTTCAGCAATAGAATTAACCAGAGAGCCGCGCGGACCGGCTCCTTACAGGAGGGCAAGCCTCGGCCTTGCTCGCCAGGGTCGTCAGTAGGCATCCTCCTCCCCTCATTCCCGGCTCAGGGGCGGCAGA